ATCATGAGCCTTGTTGGCAGCCATCACGTGCCTTGTTGGAAGCCATCATGAGCCTTGTTGGAAGCCATCATGTGCCTTGTTGGAAGCCATCACGTGCCTTGTTGGCAGCCATCATGAGCCTTGTTGGAAGCCATCATGAGCCTTGTTGGCAGCCATCACGTGCCTTGTTGGAAGCCATCATGAGCCTTGTTGGAAGCCATCGTGAAAAGTGATAACACAATCTAAATCATCCGTCAAAGACTTTTGGAATTTTTGTTTTATATTTTTCAGAAACATGGCTTAGGAATAATTAACGCTGCAAATTTAGGGATGTCCCTGTTAACAGAACAAGAAATTCCAAAATGGCATCCAGTAACACCCGAGATCAGAGCAGCATGTGCAGAGGCTGTTCGATATTGTAAGGTAGGTCAGACAGTTTTAGTCAATAAATGTTTAGTTAAGGTATATTACACTTTTTATTTATGGTTACTTTTATTAACAATATTGAACATACTATTTAGATTATTTGTATTTATTACTGTTTTAATTCTATTATAAATATTGTTTTGCATTGTTGGCTTAATATACGTATCACCTAATCTGCCCGAACCGCGAGACATATTACTGAGATTACGAACGAAAACATTGTTAGCAATGTTAACATTGTTAACAGCGAGGATATCCAGTTGATGATTTGTTTGTTTGTTTGTTTTGAATTTCGCGCAAAGCTACACGAGGGCTACCTGCGCTAGCCGTCCCTAATTTAGCAGTGTAAGCCTAGTAAGACTTGTACCACTATTTGTTGGTAAAAGAGTAGCCCAAGAGTTGGCGGTGGGCGGTGCTGCCTTCCCTCTAATCTTACACTGCTAAATTAGGGACGGCTAGCGCAGATAGCCCTAGTGTAGCTTTACGCGAAATTCAAAACAAACAAACAATCAAAGTCGGTCAAATAACATGATTTATCAAAGTCTATCTGATCAAAAGATTCGGAGAATTAACCTAAGAATCTCAATAATTATATGTAGGTGGGGTTCAAAATGGACACCGTTAAATTATAGAAAAATAGCTACCGATCAATTGTTAATATCTTTATGTAGTATTACAAGCAGTTTGAAAGAGTGCACGATAACCGCGGTTTCAAAAAGTACAAGTATAACAATTACCTCATATATCCTTTGGCACTTAATCAACCAAAGTTTAAACCATGATTATTTTATTGTTTCAAAACAAAAACCACTTTTATTCTGGTCATCTTCAGGCAGTGGGATTGAAACAGGTAACGGAATATCTTTGTTTTGAAATAACAACTAATTATGCTTTAAAACAGTGGGTCAGTGTGGTCAGGAGATTACTGGTAGTTCGCGAGGGATCTCCAGGTGGTCAGTCAGCTGGTCATATCAAAAGCAACACCATTATTCCTATTCGATTCCCCCCCCCTACCCCAGTGGCACAGTGGTATGTCTGCGGTCTTGCAACGCTAGAAACCGGGTTTCGATTGACCTTCAATTTAAAATTGCTTCTTTTGGAGTGACATTGAAAAACACTAGAAATACATGCATCAAAATATATTTTATGTGGAGTAACCGTTGACTTAATGATATTTCCTTGTAGAATAACAACAAAAACACTAGAAATACATGCATCAAAATATATTTTATGTGGAGTAACCGTTGACTTAATGATATTTTCTTGTAGAATAACAACAAAAACACTAGAAATACATGCATCAAAATATATTTCATGTGGAGTAACCGTTGACTTAATGATATTTCCTTGTAGAATAACAACAAAATCACTCGAAATACAGAGTAAAGTGGTTATTTTAGGGTAAATTCTAGCAAGCTTTAATTAACAGTGAATTTAAAAGAAGACCCTGTCAGTTGATTTAAGGTTCTGAACTTTTACAGTAAACGGTTTGGCAGCTTGTCTTCCAGTCTTTTTACCATAAATCAAAAGTGAATATTTTTACATTATAATATGTTTGCAACAACGACCATGTAAAACAAAAAGCTAGTGAAGCTTTCCAAAGTTTGATGAAACTTGACAGGAACAGACGACTAGATACAACTTCGCTCATGAAGCTGTTTTTTTTTTTTCTTTTATGTGATTTAGGCTTAACTATTTCTTGCCCTTAAAACAACAAAACAAAAACGAATTATACCGAGAAAAACTTTAAAAACACATCTATTAAAACCACGGGCGCAAGTCTGAGACAGGTATTGTTCATTTAAGGCATCATGGGATGTATTTTGAAATGATCAGCTTTCACTTTTAAGCCTCCTGGGGGTCCATTACGTGAACGTCGAGTACTGAAGAAAAGTTCTTAATACAATCACATCATTAGGCTTACGCCCGTGTCGTTAGGTCTTTAATTTGCATGTACATTAATTGTTATATTGATATTTACAGTATTTCTGTTAAAACGTGGTTTAAGTTCTAATTTGGGATACATTTTTATATATGTACTGTGCTGGTGCTTAAATTATCTGGTTCCTTTATTTGTTAGTGAATATGACTAGATACGTATTTAAATATCAATCAAATTAGCACAGAAGTCGTAGAATATCTACTCCATCTAGCGTTTGAAGCCAATTCGAATAAAAAAAGATCAAAGGTAAATTCATTACAAATTTATTACAGTCTCGCTGTTACGTTCAACGTTTTATTTAGAAAATTCTGTCCAAAGATGGAGATGTAATCTTGTCGTTGATTTATTCATTTCCTCGAAGGACCAAGGAGTTGACATTTCCAAGTTGGCAGTCTGTTTTTCTCTTAACCAGTTGGGTATAGACACTCATCTTACAGGAATGGCTGAGTAAGTTTTATTTTCTAAAGCAGAGCTTAAGTTATTTTGTCAGATTTTAGTTAATTTATTCATTGAAAACAGAATTAACAAACTTTTTAATACACCAGTTTGGACAAGTTTCAAGACTGTTGTTTGCGCGTGTCGTTTGGTTTAAAAAATCTTTGTCCTGCTAATTATTATTAAGAACATGTCGCTTGAAGCTGATCTGTTACACATTTTCAGTGCTTGATCTGTTATGCATTTTCAGTGCTTGATCTGTTACACATTTTCAGTGCTTGATCTGTTACACATTTTCAATGCTTGATCTGTTACACATTTTCAATGCTTACACTTCTTTTCTCTTTTATGTTGATTATTGAGGAAGATACCTTAATATCCGGCGGGCTAGTGCGCTTAAGGCAGCCAAAGTGAAACTTGTGTCTCTTTTGTGTTGATTATTGAGGAAGATACCTTAATATCCGGCGGGCTAGTGCGCTTAAGGCAGTCAAAGTGTAACTGTGTGTCTCTTTTGTGTTGATTATTGAGGAAGATATCTTAATATCCGGCGGGCTGGTGCGCTTAAGGCAGTCAAAGTGTAACTGTGTGTCTCTTTTGTGTTGATTATTGAGGAAGATATCTTAATATCCGGCGGACTAGTGCGCTTAAGGCAGTCAAAGTGTAACTTTGTGTCTCTTTTGTGTTGATTATTGAGGAAGATATCT